TAAAGACCTACGAAAACCAAGATGTAGGGCTGGGAATTGGCTTAGTGGTAGAGCGCTAGCCTTGAGCAAAAGCAGCTCAGGGACAGTGCCCAGGCCCTGAGTTCAAACCTCAAGAATGGTAAGGAAAAACTAAACGAACAAGACACAGCTGGGCACTGGTGGCTCACACCTGTAATCCAAGCTCCTCAGGAGGTTGAGATGTGAGAATCTTGGTTCACAACCAGTCCAGGCAGGAGAGTCTGTGAGATTCTTACCTCCCATTAATTAACACCTCCCTCCCCCAAAACCAGAAGCAAAAGCTGTGGCTCAAGTGCTCAAAAAAAAAAAAAAACTAAGGCCCCGAGTTCAAGCCCCAGGACTAGCAAAAAAATAAAACTGTGATGTTCCTCCCCAGTGCCAGCCACTCCAAATATCTCACCTGCTTCAGTCCTCAGAGACTTCAGAACACTTCATCAAGTCTCACCCCACTAGTTCCTCAGGGACACCTGTTCTTGCCCTATTGAAACTGTAGTGACCTCGAGGGCTGGTGCACACAAATCCATTCTTGTCCCACAGAATCCACTTCCAAATACAATTAGGCAAGTGTGGCAAGCATGAGGCCCTGGGTTTGATTCCTCAGCACCACATAAGCAAAAAGAAAAAAGCCACAAGTGGCGCTGTGGCTCAAGTGGTAGAGCGCTAGCCTTGAGCTGAAGAGCTGAGGACAGCACCCAGGCCCAGAGTTCAGGCCCCACGACCAGACTCCCCCCCCCCCAAAAAAAAAGCCCACTCTAGTGTTGATTCAAGGCCACTTAAAACTTCCCTGCAGTTACACCCAGGCCAGGTACTACCCACCAAGCCAGATACAGTGCTCAAAAGAAAGGCAGCTTCTGCCTTGACAGCATACTTAGACCCAGGAAGAGTTTGGTTTTTTTTTTGTTTTTTGTAGGTCCTGGGCTTGAACTCTGGGCCTGGGCGCTGTCCCTCAGCTCTTCAGCTCAAGGCAAGCGCTCTACCACTTGAGCCACAGAGCCACTTTCTGTTACATCTAGGCCAGTTCACAACAGAGAACTGATGTTACCACTAAAGGGGATTCCCACAGTGAACTCCTCAGGTGGCAGGGAACCATATCACAGGCAGCAAGGGAAAGGCTGGACTCCTCCTCCATAAGGGTCTTTAGAGGTGAAGCTAAGTAGTGATCTTAGCAGAGCACACTGAGGAGTGAAAAGCAAGCTGGTGCCAGGGGCTCATGCCTCTAGAATCCTAGTTGTCAGGAGTCTGAGTTCTGAGCATCAGTTTGAAGTCAGCTTGGGCAGAAAAATCTGTGAAACTCTACAAAAGTGGAACATGGAGCTGTGGCTCAAGTAGTAGAGCAACCAGCCTTGAGTGACAAAGCTAAAGGACAGCACCCAGGCCCTGAATTCAAGCCCAGGACACACACACACACACACGAGCAGGGTGCATAGTACCTGTTGTTATGAGTAGGAAAGCCAAGAATACATGTTCATATTCCCATCTTTTTGCATGAAGAGACACTAGGGTGACATTCCATAACAGCTGCCATAGAAAGTAGGTGGAAAATGGTAGCTTGTTTGTGAACACTTCTTTGAATAGTATTGTTTTTTTCTTTTCTTTTTTCTTTTGGTTGGGGCTTGAACTCAGGGCCTGAGCGCTGTCCCTGAGCCTCTCTGTGCTCAATGCTAGTGCTCTACCACTTGAACCACAGTGCCACTTCTGGTTTTTAAGTGGTTAATTGGAGATAAGGGTCTCATGGGGACTTTTCCGCCTGGGCTGGCTTCACACCGTGATCCTCAGATCTCAACCTCCTGAGTAGCTAGGATTACAGGCGTGAGCCACCAGCACCTAGCCAGCTTTCACCTTTGAACACTGTAAATAAATTACCTTTAAACAAGGAGTTCTTCAAATGGATCAAGAGAATGTGTCATATTTACAGTGAAATTTTACACATCCATCAGAATATTACATCATTGCAAAGAAATGGAAAATCCTGGGAAAAATTCATGTTAAATAAGACAGAACCAAAGAGACAACTGATACACGTTTCATCTCCTATGTGGAAGCCAGAACTAACTTATAAGTAAACACTTCAGGGTGGTATGCTAGTGTACACAAAGGTATTAGTGGAAAGCTAGATGCCAGTGGCTCACACCTGTAATCCTAAATGCCCAGGTCCTGAGTTCAAGCCCCACTACTGACATAAAAGAATTAACCAAAATAGGGTAGATTCAGGGGAGAACTCAATTGGGATTACAGGTATGAGCCACCTTCTAATTGTCAATTGCTTGCCTCTCCCAAGGATGTGGGGCTTATGACACCAAGGCCTTACATGCTCACTTTCCACTCCTGCTACTGTCCAAAAGACACACCACACGTGTGGATTTTCCCCCAAATGAATGCTTTATTGACAAATTTCCCATTATTCACTGTAGGGAGACACATCAGTGACCTGCGCTTGCACTGCCGACTCACACTAGTAAGTTTTTAGCTCTGGAAAGTGGACACCAAATAGTACTCTTCTCCAGCCCCAAGTATTCTAATCATGGTGTAGTGCAGTCCCGCAAGGGTGTCCAAAGTAGCCAGAGCACTTGGTTGCCAGAAAACATCGTACGGTCCCATTGCAGTGTCCCATTAAGGACACTGTGAGCTAAACAGCCATTTTTCCCCAGGAAGAGTACACAGACATGCACACAGCAAGCACTGTCCCCGTGCCCTGCTAAGAGCCATTTAGGTTTTTGCTCCAGACCACACCTCTTAAAGGGTCCGGGTGTGAGAAACTTTGTCAAGGTGTGGCAATTAAAAATGGGGAAGCAATTTCTGTAGTTTCTGAGAAAAGATTACAACAGGGTTTGGACTGACCCATAACCTCACCCCTGAACTGACCTGTGGGGCTAGTTCTGCTTCTCGCTCATCCTGTATTCAGTAAACAGGCAGGCTAGAGGCACCAGCTACAGCTGGACCACCAGGCCAGGCCCAAGGAAGGAAGCACTATGCTGGACATGTGTCATTCACAGGATGCTTCTCTTACCAGCCTGCAGGCCCCATAGGCACATGAGGTTTTTGGCCAGTGTGGGGAGTCAGGGCGAGTTTTGAGAGAAGCAGTTTTTGCATACTAGGAGAAAGGGTATTAGTGAAATAAAACACATAGGTTGGTAACAAATAGGCAGGGTGCAACAAGATCCTCATGTAAAAGTCTACAGAGTGCTCAGAACCCACTAAAGAACTCTTATTTTTTATATATAAAAAGATTATAAACAAAGCATAAGGCGATGTAAGGCTTGAATTTCAGTTTAAGTCCAAAGAAATAATATTCCCTAACAATGAGGCTAAAGCTGTTTTGCCTAGTTTTAATTTTTGAAAAGTCTGTTGCATTTAAAAAATAGTGAATCTGTTTCTGTCAAAGCCAGGTCATTAGTGTAACAATCAGGCAGCAGCTGACAATGTTTCCTTTCTAGAGTCTCAGAAAATGAACAGTCTTCTAATCTAGCATCTCAAAATAAAACCTTTGACCAGGCAGTAAATCTCCTGTGAATAGATTCAAGGTAAGAAGGGGGAAAGGTCAGAAAATGTCACTCATTTTATACTCACAGCACTTCCTCCTTCAATGTTCGGTGAGCTAATCTCCAAAGGAAGCAAGGGCTTTGGCTCAGGACCCTCCCCCCTGCCCACTTCCTGTTGCTCTAGAAAGGATGGCACAGTGATCTGCTTCATCTATGAGCTTTAGTGTAAAACATCTATGTACAAGACTGTGTTCTCTAACTCATGCGAAGGCAGCAGCCACATCTGCACACAGACAAGCATGATTGTCCTCAAACACAGCTGTTCACGGGCCCTGGCTGGTGGTTCCGTTGGGCAGAGTGGCAGATGTGATGAGGAGGTATGCTTGCATGTGTTCTGTGGCTGGTGAGCTCTTACAGGCTTAGAAAGGTGAGTGATCCGGCAGGGGCTGGTCACCACTCCCTGTCGGGGAAGGGAGGTTGTCGCTGCCATTCTCTTTGCCACCTACAACCTTAGACTACAGAAGAGAAAAGATCAAGAGAAAAAACCTAAGACACGTGCACATACAAGGTAGGTACTAGCCCAGGCTAAATTGTCTACCTAGGTTTATGCAGGGTTAACACTGCAAAGCAATAGAATGGAATACGTTACTGACAGGCAACCACAACCTGGAGAGGTCACCGGAAAATTAGAATGGAGAGAAAGCCAGTCCCCCCAAAGGTCTGAGGTCCCACATAAGTAACTTTCTTCAAGTTACAAAACGGAGCACAGATTACCGGCTGGCAGAGCAGGGGCAGGAGGAAGTGGGCTTGGCTATAGACAGTGTGTTCCTGGTGAACACAGACATTCTGTGTTTCCTGTCCTAGTCATGAGATTGCACCCAAGTTCTCCAAGACATCATTACTGCAGGAAATGGCATGAAAGAAAGGGTTCAAGGAACCTCTGCATGATTTCTTGCAATCTGAGTTTACAACACTAAAGAAGCTGATGTGACAGGTCCTATCTGTAAGGTCTGCTCCTGGATGGCTAGCAGACTCCACCCTCCTCGCAGCAAAGTCTCCACCCAGTACCTGCGTTACCTAGGCAACTGGGACACCTGGAAGAGGTCACATCTGCATCCGCTGAGGTCACATCTGAATTTGATGTGGCCACACCTTTCTCCGCCCATACCCTACGTAAGGCCTAGCCCAGGCCCAGATGCTCTCTCTCTGCTCTTTTCTAGCTCTTTCTCAGCTCTTTCCTTCTCTTCTCTTTCCCAACTCTCCTCTCTTTTCCCAGCTCTCCTCTCTTTTCTTAGCTCTCCCAGACTCTTTTCCAGGCCTTTCCCCACCGTGTAAAGGACCAAGATGGCCTGGTGCCAGCCAGAATGATGAATAAACCTACCCCTTCCCTGAATACCACGTGCATGGTGATGTCCTTACTCAGCTACCTCTTTTTAAAAACCTAACATAAATATGAGAACCAACAGTCTAGGGACAGTTACCTTTATGGTCCCCACTCGGTCTTCAAATGACTTGAAGGTTGCAGAGTTCCTTTAAAGAAAGAGGAGACAAGTGTTGTGTGGTGAGCAGCTGCAGCGCCACCCTCCTCAATCTGAAGAGCTTTAGGGTTAGGATCACACCTAGATGGCTCCCTAACAAGGACCCGATCTCCACTGCAACAATGGGACACACCAGAAAGGGAGTGTGTGTATCTGTGTGTGTGTGTGTGTGGGGGGGGTGTTCTTGGCATAGTCTATCCAGGACCACATCAGGGCTTTCCAGGGAAGGGGCAAATGTCACACAGGAGCAATGCAAACCCCCTGACCATGTTCTGGGCAGGATCTTCTGTACATCCCAGGCTGGGTTGAGGATGTAGTTCAGTGGTATCATCTATTTAATACATACATAAGGCCCTAGATTTTGTCCTCAAAATCTAGGAGAAGGGGTGGAGACCCCTTGGCTCTTCTGTACTGGGGTTATGGTAAGGCCTAAGGGCCTTTGTTATATGAAGTCAAGTAACAGGAGAGAGAGGACAGTTGTGGAGGGCTAAGGAAGCAGGCAGCCTCCATCCCACCAGTTCTCATACAACCAAGTCCCCAACAGAGTCTCCCTGACAAGAATGGGCTCTGTAAAGCTACACTGTTGTGAGGACTATCTCCATGGGGCTCAGAGACATGAGGACTCTCCTGCAAGCCGCTTTTGAGAGTGGGTTCTCTGCCCTATTCTCAGTGACCCCTCAAGCATCCAGGACCATGTTTGCCAAGCTCTGGATAGGGCTGTTATGAAGCCTCAGGGAGAATTTCATTCCCTCTAGCTCTTCCTTGCCAGCTGTTAGCTAAAAGGAAGCCACCAGAGGAATGACCCTGCCCTGGGGATTCCCGTACTGGGAGAAAGAGGAAGTACGTGGTATAACTGACAGCGCTGCCTTGCCCCTACCCAGGGATGACTCTGGAACAGCATAAGTAAGTATACTTTACCTCATGGTTGGCATACTTATCGAGTGGCGGATGGAATAGCTGCTGCTTGGAAGCATGGTAGAAGCAGAGAAGGAGGTTAAGAGTTAGCAGGGGGAGCTAGACCAGCACAAGCTTGCCAGCCTTGGTTACACATAAACTTCTAAGTGGAGGAAGTGGTAGGACCCTGGAAAGAAATACTGGCCCCTCTGCATAATGTCTAGGAGGAGAGCTGTCCTAGGCTTCCCTCCTGCCTCCACAGGAGGTACCAAGGCCACCAGAGGAAGACCTTTAAAATAGGAAAGCTGTGAGGAGACCTAAGCCTGGAGCTTCTGGAAACATTCAGTCCACAGAACCTTCAGATACTCTCACAGCAAGATAAATGATCTCTTGGTGAAAGAAAAACATAGATTTGGTAGTTGGCCTCCAGAACCAACAAGGGCATCTGGATGCTACCATGTCAGCACAGGGGAGGAACCTCTGTCAAGGATTATCCAAAGGTAATTACAGGGAATGAGAGAAAACACAGCTTGAGCAACAGGACTGCTGGTCAGGGAGCAAGGAGACAGGGCCTGGGGTCTGAAAGGACAGGGAACAGAGGGCTAGGGGCAGCATCACCACCTATGGAAGAGTGCTTCTCTTCAGGAGTAAAACAAACACTGAGACACAGTCACCGTGCCAGGCCAGGCCAGCCACTCATGTCCAGCAGCAGCACATGACATGTGTCCACCAAGCACCCAGAGTAGATACCCTTGCCAAGGAAGCTAGGGATGGTAGCCCTATATGGACCATGCTGCTTTCAAAACAGCAGCTGCCTGGTGGGTGCTGCCCTGCTGGGAGTTTTTGTCACACCAGCTTATCTACCTCCACTTAGCACAGCTCCCAAGGAGCCCTGCTTCAGAAAAAAGCCATCCACCAGTGTGTCCACCACACCAGTTCACCCACCTCCACCCAGCACAGCTCCCAAGGAACCCACAGAGAAAAAGCCTTCCACAGGTTTGTCCAAGATCACTCTTACCTAAAGGAATGCGAGAACGGATGAGCCCTGAATGGTGGCCGCAGGAAGAAAGAAGAAAAGCAGCATTATGCAAAGGAGGCCAGCACCCACAAGACAGCCCCATCCACCCCTCAGCAACCCTATGCCTCTGAGGCTTCTCTGCTCATGCTTTGTAAGGAAATTCCAACCGCCCCTCCAGTACTCACACCAGCAGAGATGGAAGGACACGTGACTCCAAAGAGGTTCACGGGAGAGCACAATCAGCAACTAAGGGGCCCATGGTTCTCTATTTCTGGGCATAGTCACATATATGAGAGGCTCCGTGTCCACACAGTGGAGGTTAAGAGCATGTGCTACAGTGAAGCTGGTTTGTGCTACCAGCAGGCTGGTCTGACACTATGTCCATGGAGTGACCTACGTTTTCTAATGCTAAATGGGAACAAAAGCATCATAAAAGGACCTAAAACACACTCAATGACAAGTATTTCTGTTCTAGGCTGTCACTTCAGAGAGGCCAGCTTGGAAACATTTAGGTATAAAAGTGGCTGCTAGCCGGGCGCTGGTGGCTCCTGCCTGTCATCCTAGCTACCAGGAGGCTGAGAGCTGAGGATCTCGGTTCAAAGCCAGCCAGGGCAGGAAAGTCCGTGAGACTCTTATCTCCAATAAACCACTAGAAAACCAGAAATGCCGCTGTAGCTCAACCAGCAGGATGCTAGCCTTGAACTGAAGGGCACAGGGACAGCACCCAAGCCCATGACCGACCAAAAAAAAAAAAGTGGCTTCTGGCACAGGGGCAGCATGCTAGCCATCCGTCTGCAGCACATTCAGACTTCCACCATTAACGTGCCTAAAGTCAAAGAAGGCCACTCACGGAAGGCAGCCCTCAAGAATTCACTCACTACTACATGGATACAAGTAGGGTTGGTGCCTCTTGTGCCAGGTGGTCACAGGCCAGTGGGCACCCTAGGGCAGACCACCGTGACACAAACCCAGTTTCAGCCCTCCCTCGCACTGTTACCTGTAGCCCCAGGGCACACCAAAGGGCCTGGGGAAGCACTGCCTCAGGACAGCCTGCTGTACTCACACCAGCCTGCTGGACCCAAGGGTCAGAAAGGGTCATAAGGGATCATCTACCTATAAACTCATGCTCATGCTGGGAGCCTCCTAAGTCTGAATGCCATTTTCAAGAAGCCCTCAACTCTCAGACACTGTCACTAAACTAGGAGGCTGATGGACTTGGCCTCAGAAACTACTGTGACCATCTGGTGAGATGACTGAGATCTGCCAGGGCCCCAAGAGGTCAGTGTTCACATAATTAGTACAAATACCAACAATAGTGCCCTCTCAGGGGAGACATTAGCATATGAAAAAAACCTTCAGGGACTTAAGCAACCATCAGAAGAGAGTCAGTGCTTCTGAAGCTCTTGCTCACCCTGGCTGGCCCAATTCATGCCAAGGTGTGAAGCCAGGCATCCAGACAAGACTTTGCTAGCACAGTGGCCTGCCAGGGCCCAGAGGCTGTACACCCGGGGTGGGGGATAAGTCTTAGTGCTCCAGGTGGAGAATGGAGGCTGCATTCCTTAGCAGAGAAGGAACAGTGAAGACGTGGCAGCAGGTCCTTGTGCTCCCGTAAAAGGCAGGCTATCGAAGAATGGCCAACCAGGGGGCTGGGAAGGTGGCTCAGTGGTAGAGCGCTTGCTTAAAAAAAAAAGAATGGCCAACCATATGGCTCACATTCCCATCAGCACCCGGGGCTTGCTCTACCATATTTCCACCTGGATGCTCTAAACAAACTCAGAAGAAAGAACACTTAAAATGAGTAAGCCACCCAGAATTAAAAGCAAGCGCTCCTCATGGAGATAGGCACTTGCGTATCCAGTGCACTTTGGGTAAGATGGACACGTTCAAAAAGGAGGGGGTGACATCTTCCCACAGTGGTTCCAAGAAAACCCTGCCTCACCTCCGTGTCAGTCCCTGAGAGCCAGGACAGGACAGCAGTGGCATGCCCAATTGTCAGGAGGCTTACCACCACGCAGCTTGGCCAGCCCTAGGCCAGGCAAACATCCTAAGGAAATGTTGTGCTGGTCCTAGAGACAGGCTGTGCTCTGCCTCATCCCCTCCTGACCCTAATTTCCAGACTGTATCAATGCCTCTTTACAGAGCCCGATGGAAGAGAGACCTCTCCCCAGACCTAAGCATCAAGAGCTACCTGAGGACTAATGATCCCCCCAGGAATACAGAGGTGAGCCAGCAGGAAGCACCTCCTTCCCTAAAAGGTCCACAGGGAGGTTGGTCCAGGCCTTGAGCAGCCTGGCTGCAAGCGACCAGGCTGAGGGGCTCACCTCATGTCGCCGAGCTTTCTGCTGATCGCGGAGCTTACAGTGGACAAGGCAGCAGATGTCTTCTGTCCCGCCTGTGAAAGCGTTTCCTGGGTCTTCTTGTAGCTAGGAAGAAGACACACATTAGAACCACCAAGCAGCAAGAACAGCCAAGTAAACACAAGAACAACCAAGAAAGGAGAAGAGAGAAGTCTGGCTGGTGGTAAGCACCAAATCACAGGGGGAGCATTCTTCTGGCTCCTCTGCCCTTAGGGGTCTTTGCCCTGCAGGCTCATGTCCTCATCTCATAACTCTAGCTCCACCTCTACATCATCTGAGACTTCGTTTACTTTCTCATCTTCCCACAGCACCTAGGACTGCTTGGGAAATGCAACACCTGCCTGCTACAGAGAAAACAAGTCAAAGAGATACTGGGTCTGAATGCACACCAGTGCATTAAGAAAATGCCAGAAAAGTTTGCAACTCCTGGACCAAGCAAACACAACTCAAAGGTTCCCTTTCTCTTTTTCTACGTGCACCCACGGAGGATGTTCCCAGCACAAACTGCACTGTGTGGTAGCTTCTCCAGACTGCGGAGTCCTCCACTCTCTGCACTGTCTGAAGCTCCATTCGCATGCTCCCTCCAAAGTACATATGGTGTTAAGAACCCTTTTTCCTTCTCCTACCCTATCCATCTACATGTAGTCACCAAGGAGCCCACGGCGTCCTCCACACCAACAGGAGGAACTTAGGGATGGAAGAGACTCCGAGGCTTACCAAGAAAGTCAACATGTAAGAAGGCTGGCTTTTGCAAAAGACCTGGAAGCCTTAGTGACAAAACCTATGACCAAGCCCCAAATTTAACGCATCTAGGTCACAGAGCCTCATTGAAAGGCTGGAAGAACTTAGAGCTTAGTGGACTAGGTGAGGTCATCTAGCACAACCAGAGAAACTCGAAGAGTTTATTCCCAGAAAACTCGGCCAGGCCTGAGGGGCAGCAGCTGACCAGCCTCCCCAGAAGATAAGGCTCCTCCAATCCCTGTTGGTGTCACTAGGTCACAGCAGGCACCAGTAACGGCCTTCCAAAACCTTCCTCTCATTCCATGCTCACTCCCTGCAGGAGATCCTGAAAGCATCTGTCAGCCACAGAACAAGCAGACTGACCAAGGCTGGACATGGGTATGTCTGGCAGCTCACAAAGGACTCCCTTGCTTTTTCCTGGCCTGGATGGCATTATCTGTGCCTGTCACCTGGCACTTTCCTGCTAAAGCAGGGAAGCAAAACTATCTGTAAGCAATAGAGCAGCACTGGGACCAAGGCCTTTTTGTATAAGATACCTGGTCTGAGATCACAAAAACGGCAACATCTAGTTGCAGAAATACAAATTTAGGGTTGCCAGCCCCATTTAAAAAAAAAAAAAAGGAGAAATACAGAAATATAGCAGCTTTGATGATAAAAATCTAAGTCCCAGAACTTAGGAGGCTGAAGCAAGAGGACCTTGAGTTTGAGGTCAGGCTAGGCTAGCTCTGTCTCCAAGGAAAATAGAAAAGGGGGAAAAAAAATCATCTCAGATCTCTAACCGTTCCATGAGTTCCAGTGCCTTGTACACTCAGACACACACAGACACACATGCAAATACACTTACTGGTACTCTGGAAATCATTACAAGGTAAGGATGAGCCGGGTGCCAGTGGCTCACGCCTGTAACCCTAGCTACTCAGGAGGCTGAGATCTGAGGATCCAGGTTCAAAGCCAGCCCAGGCAGGAAAGTCCACGAGACTCATCTCCAATAAACCACTAGAAAACTGGAAGTGGCACGGTGGTTCAAGTGGTAGAACGCTCACCTTGAACTGAAGAGCTCAGGGACAGCGCCCAGTCCGAGTTCAAGCCCCACAACTGACACACACACAAAAAAAAAGGATGAGGAGGCTAGGCTATGCCTCCCCAGGCAGCCCTTTTTTTTTTTTTGTATAATTATTTAGATCTCTTAAGAGTCCTTTCAAGTAGGGCCAGCCAGACACCTGGACCATCTTGTCAGCCTGCAAAACTAGAAGCAGGGGCTTCTTTACCAAGGGAGTCCTCCTATCTCACTGCTTGGTTGACACTTTTTTTTCTTGTTGTTTTTTGGGGTGTGAGGCTTTAACTCAAGGACAGAGCCCTGTCCCTGAGCTCTTTTGCTCTACCACTTTGAGCCGTAGCTCTACTTCTAGCTTTTGAGTGGCTACTTGGAGATAAGAGTCTCACAGGGACTGTTCTGCTTGGGCTGGCTTTGAACCATGGTCCTTGGATCTCAGCCTCCAGAGCAGGTAGGATAACAGGCCTGAGCCATGGGCACCTGGCAATGGTTGACACTCCTTAGCTATGCTGCCATCGATAGATCGAAGAATTAAAAAATGCATCAACTATAAACTGCAGGCTTTCAGATACATCTACATAAAAGAAATACAACAAGGTAAGTTTCATGACTCACAGAAGTCAGCTGCTCCCACTTACAGAAGTGGCTAAGAAGAGAAGCCCAGTGGCTTCTCAGCTATGTAAATGACACACAGCTTTCCGAAGCCCAAAGAGGCAGACATCACAGCACCTACAGGAGCTCTACTTTCTATTCTTGCCCGCTTAGGGTGCTGCTGGCTAAAAGGAATCTATAAACACATAGCTCATTGAAGTTCAAGAGCTCACCTTTCCCTACAAAGACTACAGGTGTCAAATCCTACCAGTAGTCTATTTCCTGAAGCCTGACCAGACAGAGGCAAGGCACAGCAAGCATGCTCAGCTTCTGGCCTCCAAGATGCACTGTGCTCCTGGGCTCTCAGTGCAGAAAAGCCTCCAGCTCCAGAGACAGCATCATGACAGCTTTTACCAACACAGTCACAGGTGAGACTCCAGGGGGATGGGATAATGCTTGGAAAGGGGCATCCCTCAGCCACATTTGTACACTGAGCCTCAAACTTCACCAAGGGACCAGAAAACCACTGAGGTAATGTTCTAGCAGCTCTATGTCAGGTGGTTTCACTCACATATGCACAAAACATCTCCACAAATGATCTTCAGGGCTGGGAAGGTGGCTCAGTGGTAGTGCTGCCTAGCAAGCACGAAGCCCTGGGTTCGAATCCTCAGTACCACATAAACAGAAAAAGCCAGAATTGATGCTGTGGCTCAAGTGGCAGAGTGCTACCCTGAGCAAAAAGAAACTCAAGAACAGTGCCCAGGCCCTGAGTTCAAGTCCCATAACTGGCAAAAAAAAAAGATAAAAAATGATCTTCAGACTAGAGTCTGCTTGCGAGCCCATCCAGAGTCCTAGCAGAGCCACTGCTTAGTGCAACCCTAAAGGAGTGCCCACATTCCCCTCAGGCCGCTGGAATACTAAGGCTAACAGCTGGCCAAGCCATCAAAGCTTCGGCAGCTAGGACACCAGACCTGAAGGTCCCCTGCACAACGAACCAAGTCTAGCAGCATTTCTTTCAGATCAAGTGTGCAAGGTCCTGGCCATGTTTTACAACAGCATTCCCTATACTCCCCTACCTAGTGACAGGACACAATAATCAGCACACACAAATAAAGTGCTATTATTTAGATTAAGGAGGCATTCTGCATGGTAGCTCTAACAAGCACACACCTATCCATACATAACATGGGCACTGTTGACACTTCACATAGCCAATGGTACAGTAGATGAGACAACAGGACTTTAGGATCTTGTCAGCCTGGCTCAGAGTCCCAACAAGCTTCCCTCAGAACAACTGAAGCTGTAAAGCCCCAATAGCTGGTCTGTAAAAGAAGAAAAGGTGGCTCAGTGGTAGAGTGCTTGCCTTGCATGCCTGAGGCCCTGGGTTCGATTCCTCAGCACCACATAAGCAAAAAGAAAAAAGCCGGAAGTAGCGCTGTGGCTCAAGTGGTAGAGCGCTAGCCTTGAGCTGAAGAGCTAAGGGACAGTGCCCAGGCCCAGAGTTCAGGCCCCACGACTGGACCCCCCCCAAAAAAAAAGACACAAAAATTCACCAATAGCCAGGCCCCAGAGGCTCATGCCTGTAATCCTAGCTACTCAAAAGGCTGAGATCTAAGGATAGCAGTTTGAAGCCATCCCGGGCAGGAAAGTCTGTGAGACTCTTTATCTCTAATGAACCACCAAAAAACTGGAAGTGACACTGTGGCTCAAGTGGTAAAGTGCTCACTTTGAGCTGAAGAGCACAGGGACAGAGCCAGGCCAGAGTTCAAGCCCCATAATAAAAAAAAAATAAAAATAAATTACCAACAAGAGCTGGATGCCATTGGCTAATCCTAGCTACTCACAGGAGGCTGAGATCTGAGGATTGCTACCCAGGTAGACAAATCTGAGACCTTTGTCTCCAATTAATCAGCAAAAAGCTAGCAGTGGAGGCACAGCTCAAGTGGTAGAATGGCAGCCACGGGCAAAAAAGCTGAGCAAGAGCTCAAGCCCTTGAACTGAAGCAACAGGATGAGCACACACAAAAGAGTGTGGTCACTGGCTGAGTAAATCTCTTTCTGCTACGGTACCCTGTCTCACTATTTCTACTTAGAGGAAGACAGGCTGGGAACTGGTGGCTCCCACCTACAACCTTAGCTACTCAGAAGGCTGAGATCTAGGAACACAGTTCAAAGCCAGCCTGGGCAGGAAAGTCTATGACACTCTTATTTCCAATTAACCACCAGAAAATCGAAGTTGAGTTGTAGGTCAAAGGGCTAGAGTGCTAGCCTTGAACAAAGGAGGTCAGGGACAGCACCCAGACCCTAAGTTCAAGCCCCACATTGATTTAAAAAAAAAAAAAAAAAAGAGGGCTGGGAAGGTGGCTCAGTGGTAGAGGGCTTGCCTTGCATGCTCAAGGACCTGGGTTCAATTCCTCAGCACCACATAAGCAAAAAGAAAAAAGCCGGAAGTGGCACTGTGGCTCAAGTGGTAGAGCGCT